GCGCGACCAGTCCGCGCCGCTGTGGAGCCGAGAAGGGACCACACAAGGCGATCCCTTGGCCTCCCTCTTCTACTCTGTGGCCACCCTTCCGCTCGTGTGGGAGATGAAGCGGCCAGCAGAGGAGGGCCCTCAGGCATGGTTTGCCGACGACTCCGCCAAGGTGGGAGACCTCTAGCCGGTGCGCGAGTGGTGGAATGAGCTGCAGCGAAGAGGGCCACTGAGGGGCTACCACCCCAACGGCAAGAAGACCAAGCTGGTGGTGCGGGCGGGTTGCGAGGAGCGGGCGCGGGAGGTGTTTGGCGATACCGACGTGGAGATTGTGAGTGGTGCTCGATATATGGGGGGATTTGTGGGGACCGCGGAGGTCAAGCGGGCTTACGCCACCGAGAGGGTGCAGGAGTGGCAGCGGTGTGTCAACCGGATGGCGGACGCAGCGGCCAGATACCCGCAGGCAGCCCACACGGCACTCACAACGTCTCTGCAGGCCGAGTGGGATTTCTTCATGCGGGTGATGCCTGAGGAGCGGGCGACATTCGAGCCGCTGCGATATGCCCTCACCCACTACCTCACCCAGCTCTCCAGCCATGCGGTGACCGCCACTGAGGCCCAGCTGATGATGCTGCCTGCGCGTCATGGGGGGATGGGGGTGAGGGACCCGACGGAGCGAGTGGCGGCGGCATACAAGACGTCCACCAAGGGCACCTCCCTGCTGGTGTCCACCATCCAGAACGGCGACCCACCCGACGGCCCTCCATTCAACCCCTTCCAGCACCGCGCCGAGATGCAGCAAGTGGTCAAGGAGGGGCGGCGGGCGACCGATGAGGCAGCCAAGGAGCGCTTCGAGGACGGCCTCCAGCAGCTGCCCCCAGAGAGACGACGGGCGGTCCACCGGGCGATCGAGGCCAAGACGGCCGGGTGGGTGACTTGCCGCCCTGACGCAGAGGACCACACCGACCTGACGCCTGACGAGTTCCGCGACAACATGGCCATCCGATACGCCTACGAGCCTCCCAAGATGCCCACCCACTGCGACGGCTGCGGGGCTGCATACTCGCTTGACCACGCCCTCAACTGTGGGGTGGGTGGGTTGGTGATTCGGCGGCACAACGAGGTGGTGGACGTGCTGTGCGACCTTTCTGCCAAGGCTTGGGGTGAGTCGGCGGTCAGGAAGGAGGTGGTGATCGTGGAGCCCGAGGAGGAGGGGGAAAAGGGGGTGCGGACGGACATGGTGGTGATAGGGGTGTGGGAGAGGCAGAAGGACGTGTCGTTCGACGTATGCGTGACGAACGCTGACGCACCGTCCTACCGCAAGCAATCCACCGCCTCCATCCTCAAGAGCAAGGCCAAGACCAAGAAGGCCCACCACAGCCGTGTGTGGTGCGTCACGGTGGATGGTGTGTGGGGCAGAGAGGCCAACGGTTTTTTCAGCCGCCTGGTTGAGAAGCTGCGCACCAAGGCTGCGTGGGCAGACAAGTCGTATGGCCAGGTGATGGGATGGGTTCGTGCTCGTCTGTCTATTGCGTTGGCACGTAGTGCGAGTATGTGTGTGCGTGGTGGGCGGCGCCGCTGGAAGATACACTAGGCGGGCGCTGAGGATGGTGCTGGTATGTTTGTCGCATGATTGAGGGTCGGTCGACGTTGACACAGTTCGTTTCATGAGAGACCGACAGACTCTGCCTGCCGTTGCGCTATATAGAGGCAGTGTGTCATCCATTCAATCAATCAATTCGACCACTTGATGGACGTGTGCATACTTTTGCTGCCCGCCACCTCTACCGGCAAGTAAAATGTAAGCGTCGGCTGATTGCACATGCAAGGCTCCCTATGCGGCCACGTTGCGCCACGGATGCGGGGGCAACTATTGATGGCCGACCACACGGTACCGAATGAAACGTCTCGACAAAAACAATCTAACGAACGCCGAAATGCGTTTTGGACTTCGTTTCTTCAGTCGCCTGGCGGAGGAGTGGCGAAAAATCCCTTCATTCGATGGACTGTGCAAAAATGGCGCCAGCGCATCCACCCACGGCCGCATTCACCACCGCAGCAGCAGGTTCCCCACAGCCGGAAAGGCGCGCGCAGACGGCTACCTACAGGTCTCCATCATGCGCAAGCACTACCTCGTCCACCGACTTATAGCAGAGACCTTCTTGGCGGACGAGAAAGGTCGCCTGCAGCAGGAGCAGCCGGGTGCGCTGATCCAGGTGGACCACAAGGACAACTGCAAGGCCAACAACCGGGTGGAGAACCTGCGGTGGCTGTCGGCGGGGGATCACGCCAGGAAGACGGCTCAGTTGGACATACCGCGGCCCCGCCCTCTGATGGCGACGGCGAGAGGAATCACGGCTGTTTCGAAGGAGGACGGCACCAGGCATACCTTTCGCAGCGTGACGCTTGCGGCACGGCATTTCGACCTCCCCGTCAAGCTCTTCCGGTCCATCATCTTCACGACCGACCGTTTCGCCTATCGCAGCCTGGCCAAGTGGACGTTTCAGCTGGCGCGGCAAGAGACCAACGAGGAGGGCGAGGCGTTCCGCAGCATACCGTTTCTGAGGGATGAGAGGGGGAAGGCGCCCATGGTGTCGAACAAGGGCAGGGTTCGGCACACCAACGGGAGGGTGACTCTGGGCTGCTTGACGTCTCTCGGCTATCGCAGGATACAGCTCCAGGTTAGCCCTCCCTCGTTGTACCGACCGGCCTGTTAATTCTGTGTCCTGGTGTGTCCATGCAGTCGCGTATGCACCAGGTTCACCGCCTTGTGGCTCTCGTGTGGCAGCATCGACAGCTGCGAGAGCTACTGCAGAAGGGCCATGAGGAGAGGGATCTGGAGGTGCACCATGTTGACGGCGACAAGACCAACAACACCGCAGAGAACCTACAGTGGCTCAGCAAGCTAGAGCACAGGAGGAAGTCGGCTGCAAAGGCCAACAGACTCAGGACATGACAGGACATGACGCGTCCATCCGTGCTGTTGTGAAAGTTGCAAGCAAACCACGAAAACGTCATAATGGGGTCCATCCACCCATCCATGCATCCATCGGTGTGTCCATCCATCGGTGTGGACCTCCAACTAATTCAAGTGTCGCACGAGATCAGATGCAAGCAAAGCAGGCAGGGGTGGGATGCGATCGATGGCACACGTGTGTGTGAGAGCGTGGGCGTGTCTGTGTGCGCCTATAGTAAATCCATCCATCCATCCAGCAAGACATACGGACAGACAAGCCTGGCCGCCTGCAGAGAGCCTTATGTACTGACTGAAGCAGCTCAGCTACCCCTTTGTTTCATAATTATCCCTTGGAAATCTCATGCATCCCACCCCACCCATCAAACGCACTCACACACACAGGGCCGTCTTGTCTCGCCGTCGGCAAAAATCCGTGCAGCACCGCACATGTGGATGGGGCCTATACGCCGTCACTCACTCGTCATTGACAGCCGCTATGACCGTCACGTGCTTGGAGAAGGATAGCTACACACACACACACAGAGAGAGAGAGAGAGAGACGTCACGTGTGTGTGCAGACATACATAAGAGAGAGAGGCATCTCATCTCATCTCGGATCTGTGTGTGTGTGTCAGTCAGTGTGCTGTGCTGTGGGTACCCCGATGTCCTTGATGAAGGCGTCGTGAGGCGGGACGAAGTACAAAGACATCTCGTTCGTCTGCACAACCCCCCATCACACCACAACACACCACACACACGAACAGTGGCCGGCGTGCGCATGTGTGTGCGTGTGTGCAGACCTCGGCGAGCCCCACTCTGCCCTTCTGCACAAAGTATGCGGAGAGCTCCTCACACCCATGACGGTCGCTATCCGAGTCTGAACGAACACACATACACACACACGCACACACACACACAGAGAGAGAGAGAGAGGGAGAATCCATTGTGTGTGTGTGTCTGTGCATGTGGGTGTGTTATTTTGTGGTGTGTCGGTTTGGCATACACACCCACCGGGTACGGCGTGCCATACGGAGTGCTGTTTGGCCTGTCGTGTGATGTGCTGCCGCACGCTGTCCGCCGTCACTCGCTGCTTCAGCTCCACACGCAGCATACTGCACACCACACAAACCACCACAACCACAACCACAACCACAACCACACACAGGCGTGTATTCCCTGCCCCAAAACTTCCCTTCGTCCGTCCGTCTGAGTGTTTGCCCACTCACGGTTTGATGTCGATGTTTCCCCTGACATATCGTGCCGTCACGTCACACGTGTGCACCTCCTGCTTGTAGATGGCCAGGTGCATCGCCTCGGACGGCTTGCGGTCGCCCAACACTATACGCTTCTCCCTCCCCTCCCTCTCAACCACACCCACGCCCACACCCATGCCCACACCAGCAGGCCTCTCCCTCTCCCTCTCCCTCTCCCTTTGTCTATCGGTGGTTGGTCGACGGTCACGTGGGAGAGCCTCACGGGAGCGCTCCAGATCTCGATCTCGATCACGACTGCTGAGGTCGCTCTCACGGCGAAGGGGGGCCTCGCGGCCGTCTGATGGATAAAGGAGACAGACAGCGAAGTGGGATGGACGGATAGATGAGGTGGTGGGCGTTGTGGAGCTCACTGTAGGCGGCTGCTCTGTCTCTGTCTCCACCCATGTCTCTCTCTCTGTCTCTGTCTCTGTCTCTGTCTCGAACGCTGCTTGTCGGCTTCTGTGGGTGTGGGGCGCCACCACCACTGCTGGCCCTGCCGCTGCCGCTGCCCTTGTGCGACCCTCCGGGCACCTGTCTGAAGCCGGAGATCTCCTCTGCCAGCTGGACGCTGATCTCGCGACCCATCAACCTCTAAATGACGGAAACACACACATACATTTCGTGATGCGTGGTTGGGGGGGCGGCGGTGTCATATACGTTACCCGTCCGTCATAGTGCCACGCGCCATCGAAGTCGCGCCGGTTTTTGAATTCCACGGTGCAGCGGCCGGTGGGCGACAGGACGCCTCGGCTGGACCGCGAGAGCTTCTCTATCCTTATCGACGTCGGCTGCACCGCACCCAGCCATGCCATCCATCCACACACCAGCGCACAGACGGAGAGAGAGACGCATCCACCCATGTGTGTGTCTGTGGGTCTGTGTTGGCTACTGACTGCGTATGGCCTGAAGAAGTCGTCGATTTCCTTCCTGTCGGCGTCATAGGGCAGGTTTGTCAGCAGCAGAGCGAAAGGACCCTTGAACTGACATTGCCACACACACACACACACACACGCAATCAGACACCAAGAAACCCATATATCTTGCCCCTCTCTCCCCTGCCTCGTGTCAGAAGCATCCTGACCTCTCTGGGAACCGGTGCGCCTTCCACCGGCTGCTGTGGCGTGGGCGTGGGCGTGGGGGTGCGGGGGGGCGGCAGCCGTTCCTGACGATCTGACAGCCGCTCCGGAGGACGCTCCGGCCGCTCACGCTCCTGTCGCTCCTGCCGCTCGTGTCGTTCGTGTCTTCCCCCACTTGCTGCTGCCGCGGCTGAAATGCGCCTCCTCTTGTCCCTGGAGTCGTGTGAGGAGCTCCGGGAGCGCCCACGCTTGCTGCTGCTGGCCCGGGGCGGGGGATAGGGATGGGAATGGGGCTGCCTGTTGACGTCGCGGATGTAGATCCAGCCAGCACCCACTGCTGGAGGGAGAGAGAGAGAGAGAGAGAGATGGAGAGAGAGAGAGGGCAGATGTGGGTGGGTTGGGTGCGTGAGTGTGGTCATTATTTGTGGTCATTGTGGTCATCCATCTCGGCTGGCTAACCTCCCGGGTTGTTTGGTTCTGTGCCCTGGTCGACGAAGTCGACATTCAAACACTGACTGGGAGTCACACTGCAGACAGCAACACACACATATACACACACACACACACACAGGTGTCAGTCAGTTGGCCGTTGTGCATGTGCTGCCATCTCTGCCTGCCATGTCTGAGTGTCTGACCCGAATTGGAATCCGTAGAGGTGGTTTCTGACTTGGATGGCCTCCTCCTTGCTGCCCATCTTGACAAAGGCGCAGTTGCGCTCACTGATGCTCCGCACGTACACGGGGTCGCCGTACCCCTCTACCCACCCGTACACGTCGTGGAACTGATCACGGCGGAACTCTGATGGATGTGCGAACACACACACACACACACACAGCCATCGGTCCATCTACCCATATATATATGTGTGTGTGTGTGTGTGTCGTGGGGTCAAGGGGGTACCCATGAGGTTGCCGAACCACAGTGTGTGGTTTGCCTTGATCGGCGGAGCGAATTCGATCCGCACCCTCACTTTGCGCGCGTTGCGCTCGTCGCTGCACGGCAGCTGCACACACCCACACACCCACACACACACACCACCACCACACACTTTTCCATGGTGTGATGTGCGTGCGCATGGTGGTTGGCTGCCAAGGTGGGCTGGTACCTACCTCTCTGAGTCGTGTGCATGCTTCGATGGCCGCCTTGATGACTTTGAACGACACGTGGGCGGCGAGCGTGCCATCGCGGTCCTCTACTATGGTCACCTGCGCGCAAGCCCAGCACACAGACACACAGACACGCACAGACGCACACGAGCTGATGCATACGTGGCTCTGCTCTGTGCTGCCTTCCTTCATGTGTGCGTGTGCGGCTGCTGATCTGTCTGATCTATCTATCTCGCTTTGCTCACGTCGACAACTTCGGCGATTTGGGATCTGATGTATCGATGGAGGGCTTCTGGCCTGTCCCTCCAGAACGACGGCAGGTCGTCAATCAGCACATAGCTGCACACACACACACACACACACACACATCCCTACTGGCATGGCAGGCATGAAGAGCAAACACATCCCATTCACTGCACTCACTGTAAGTGAGTGACTCGCGTACCGTACCGGTTGTGGAGGTTCTTGCCCTCCCTCATTCGCTTGTACTCCTCCATCTGCTCGCGAATGTCGCCCCCCTCTCGCCATTGCGACACCAAATTGCTCACATACCGCCTTCGTGGCCTGTCCCTCTCCCTCTCCCTGTCCCTCTCGCCGCGGTCACGGCCCCTCCTGTCTCTGTCTCGGTCCCTGCTGCCGCTGTCGTCCCGGTCGTCCCGATCGTCCCGTCTCTCCCGTCGCCCATTGCGGTCATCCCTTCCGTCCCGCCCACCAGCTCCCCTGTCATCTCTGCCCTGCTCACGGCCATTCTGCTGCTGATGGTGGCTCGCTGCAGTCCCATTGGGGCGGTCGCTGCCACTGCCGCCTGTCAGGGTGGCGTGGAAGCCACGCTTGTTCCCACCACGGTCGCAGTCAGGGGTGATGTCACGACGCGGGGGCGAGTCGCGAGATGAGCGTGAGGATGCCGCTGCTCGCTTGTCGTCCTTGGCGTTGTCACCTAGGCGCTTGCGACCACCGAAGACGTGTCTGTGGCCCTCCTGCTGAGCGGCGGTCTTGACGCGCTCTGGGAGGGGGACGGTGTGGGGGAGAGGAAGCGCGTCTGTGTCTGGTTTGCTATTACTGGTGGTGGCAATGGTGGTGTCCATCTTGTTGTTGGTGTCAGGGGGCGTGTGGTCGTCCTCTGGGTGCTCGCGTGGGGCGCTGGCAGAGCCGTCGACGGAGAGGGGCCTCTCAATTGCCATGTCGTCACGTGGCGCTCTCTCTGATCGACACACGCACACAGACAGACAGGGGGGGGAGAGAAAGATGTACATCAGGATCGCTGGCTGGCTCCTGTTTCTCACCGACCTTCATCGCCGACCTTCATGGCCCCCAGCTCTCTGTCCCCATCTCCCTCTCCCCCTTCCCCTCGCCCTCCGATCGCCTCATCGGGCGGCTTCGGTCCCAGCAGCCCCTTGACGGCATCCACGCCCAAGTCCACACCAACAATCGGCATGAGGTGAGCGGGCCTCACCATTGGCAGCAAAGGGGGCAATGGGGACACCATCGGTGGCGGAGGAAAGACGGCCGCCGGCGGCGGCGGGGGCAAGCCCATCGGAGGGCGAGCGAGTGGGGGCAGAGACATCGGGAGCAGAGGGGGCGGGAAGGGGCCACAATGGGGGTTGGGCGGCATGATGTTGTGTGGGTGTTCGGGTGTGGATGTGGGCGGTGGTGGTGTGGTGCCAGGGCAGGAGCCGTCCAGGTTGGCGAACAGCACTTGCAGCACGCGGTTGCCCACCTTCTTGCCATCGAGACCTCGCTTCGCCGACTGATGGATGGATGAGATGACAAATGCATGCCATGCGGTGCCCCTCTCTCTCTGTGAGTGAGTCTACTGGTATGGTAATCAACCCACCCACCTTGGCGTCTTCGATGCGTTTGAATTGGACTCTCGTGGGTTTGGTTGACGAGGGCTCCATGGCGGCGATGTCGCCGTACCGCTCGAGGCGTGTGCGGAGCTCCGTGGGGTCCATCGACGGCTCCAGGTTGAAAATGAACACACACACTGATGTTAGATGATACCACACACACCACACGCAACGCAACATACGGGACACAATTGCATTGCAACACAGGTCTTTCCATTTGGTGTGTTGTGTGCTGTGCTGTGCTGTGCTGTGCTGTCACCATTTGGCGAGTTGTGGTCGGGGAGCCGCTCATACGGGATTTCGTCCTCCTGATTGATAATTTGATAATATGGCACACATGAATAACCAACCCATGCCACACGTGTCGCGTCGCTCTCTCTCTCGCCGTGTGTGTTGTGTATAGCGGGCCGGGCCCACCTCAATCTCCCCCTCTTCATCCCCCTCGGCCATCTCCTTGCTCGCCTCGCCACCCACACTATCTGCCACCAAACCCTCGGCACTATCGCCATACTCACCTACAACACACAAACCAAGGTAGGTTCATGCCCATGAGCATGCATCGCCCTGTGTGTGCGTGTGTGTGTGTGTGTGTCGGTTTCTCTCTGGTCCGTATGTACCATTGTCCCTGTCTGTGTCTTCAGGGTGCTGTGTCTGCGTGGGAATGTGAGCTGCGTAGAGGGCCACCCAGCACTGGTGCAGAGCCGATATGCTCTCGGTCAACTCGGGATGGTCCGCTGACGCCAACTGCACACGTCACGTTCATGACACAGCACAAAGAAAAGAATGATGATTGGATAAGATTAGATGAGCCGTGAAGCAGTGACGCCCACCGCACCGCCACCGACCTGCTGCAGGATGATCTCCGCGTGTTGTATGCGCCGTTCGTGCAGGTCTCGCCCGCTCACGGTGCCGGTGAGTGGGTGACGCTGCTCGTAGGCCAGCCACTGCACCACACACAGACACACACACACACACACTTATACAGACGGGGTGGGCCACCAAGAGCTTGTTTGGCGGACCGACCGACCTACTTACCTGTCTGCTGATGAAGTGCGCATTCACAGCGGCCGTCGACGCGCCAAATGCCGCCATGACACTCGTGTCAACCAGGCCGTCAAGACACTCTGACCATCCATCCATCCATCCGTGAAGCATTCCAGCCGAGTTCGTCTGTCAGTTCAGTTACCCTGTGGGAACTGGTATGCGATTTGTGCGAGCGCAGATGTGACGGGCAGGTCGCACACGTCCTGCCCCGCTGCCCCCTCACCGACACCGCTCACATGGCGACACTGCTGATGGTAAACTCCCAGAGTGAAGTCGAGCACGCGTCGGCGGCACTCGTCAGAGGGCGCAGTGGTGCACAGACACGGCAGCAGGCTCGTGGCGTAGTCGGACACCTGAAACACAGACCGCAGTACGGGAAGGATGGATGTCCGGATGTTCGTTCGTCGGTGTGTGTGTGGTGGTTGCCTGCCTGTTGGTCTGTGTCTTTGCAGCTAGCGAATAGGGCCTCGGCAGTGTCGTTGTATGCGGCTGGGATGGCCTGGATGTACTGCACCAGGCACCGCAGAGACTCAGTGCGGCAGCCCACCTGAATGACGAATGCACACACACACACATAGGCACACAGACCTGAGGCAGTCTTGTTTGCTTGGTTGCTTTGCTTGCTGACTGACCGTTTCCGCCTCCCTGGCCATCTTGATGAGTGTGTGTGCATGGTGTGTCGCTGCATTCATATCCTTCACACCACCTCTCCCACACACACTGCACATCACATCACATACACAAGCAAACAAAAACACAGAAAGAGAAATAAATGGACACGACAGGCACATGTCACACCACGCACCCCACCCACTCTCCGCCCATCCGTAGTACCTCTGCAGAGCGCTCTCGGCGTCCATGACGATCTGCGCCTCGTCCCTGCTGCTGCCGTGCTGCGGGTGTTGCTCGTCGCCCTCTCCCCCCTCTCCCCCGTCCCCCTCTCCCCGGCTCTCCATGGTCTCCTCCTCCTCCTCGTCACCCCCCATCATGACCTCATCCCAACTGTTGTGGACGTCCGATGGGTGAGGCGGGTGGGAGTGGTGGGGGTGGAGGGGGCGGGGCACATGCGATTCGCCCTTGACCAGCGATGCACTCACGTAACCGCCGTGGCTCTCGGTGTCCTGCACACACACACATACACACACACGCGCGCGCGCGTGGAGGGAGGGACAGGTAACAAGGGCCACAGTGCGTCGTGTATGAATCAGTCGATGAGTCAGTCAGACACACTACATAGCAGAGCGTGGGATCATTCGGCAGCCAATAGCTAAAGCTGAAGTCTCGCAAGAGAATAGATGATAGTAGTAGATAAAAGGCAGCTTCTGCATCACTCTAGCGCGACATAAATAAGCCCGTCCGTAGCAAAGTAAGAGACGGCACTCCTCGACTCCCTCGCCTCACGCCACCAGCTCGAGCCGCCATATCGGCCCGTCCTGACTGCGCATCTGTGTGTGTGGTGCGCGTACCATGACGACAGGGCCTTCGGACGACGAGACGACCGGCATTCAGCCAAGACTCCTAAACTCCACGCCCAAAGCGGGTTCAATTGCGAGCTCCTGTGCGAGCTTAGCAGATCTGGGAGGACTGTGGCAAATGTAGCAGGCCATCCACGTGATCAGGACTCACAACACACATTCCCGGCGGCGGGCCGCGGGGGTCAAAATGCCGCCGTGAACGAAGGAGAGAGACAGTCAGCGACACCGGAAAGGCCAAGGATGATGTGGCGATGCAAATCACACCGGAAAGACAGACCGCAACTGACTGACGTGGCAATGCAATGCACACCGGAAAAGCCGCAGAAAGGATGTTGAATAGTTCACACTCTCCGGCCGGGAATCGAACCCGGGTCTGCCGCGTGACAGGCGGCGATACTGACCACTATACTACCGGAGATCGACGGCTGGGCGGGGAGTGCTGAGTACGATAGTTACCGGCCAGTCATTTCGGATGTTGTGCGACTGCATCTGGGGATTCTGGACGTCAGTGCATGGCGATGGATGGAGGACGGTCTTGATTTTTGACTCGCGGACTCTCAGAGTCTGTTGTGCGGATTTTTCGTGACACGTGGGTCTCACTGACCGTCTGCCTGTGTGCTTGTGTCGGCGTGGCGAAGGTGCCTTGGCAGCAGTGTTGCCATGCCAGGCGCCTTCGCCGGTCCGAACAAGCACCGGCAGCTGGACATGGATGCATTGCAACGAACGAAAAACACGTCACGTCTCTCACACACGCCGACACACCGAAAAAGACCGACTCACTCGTACGGCAAAAAGATATATGCCCACGTCCACTCGCTGCTATATGTACACAGACAGACAGACAGACAGACAGACAGAGAGGCAGGCAGGCAGACAGACAGGCAGGCAGAGAGGCAGGCAGACAGAGCCCCTTCATCTACGCATCGGCCTCTAGGCATCCATCCATCCACCAATCTGTGTAGTAACTACTCTCCTTGGCCTCTGAGCGAGGAGAGCATTAGGCTCAGCAGGTTCACTTTAGTCGAGTTGTCGTCTGCCAGCTGCGCCTCCTTGCTCGTCTGACACACACACACACACACACACACCATGAGAGCACATGACATAGGCACACCGAGTGTGTTGGTGGTGGCCGGCCGTTCGTTCTACCAAAGGCACAAATATGACCGAAGTGATGTTCTCGCGATGCACGCGGCCGGCAGCGTCCTTGGTCAGCTGATCAACCAGACACACAGACATCACCATTTTGCAGGGGGTGCCGGCCGGCCTGTGTATGTTGGTGGTGTGACGCACTTTCATGAGGGTCTGGTCGCCTCCCTTTGGCCCGACCGGGATCACCATCACACCCCCCGGCTTCAACTGGTGCAACAAACTATCGGGAATCGCAGCAGCTGACACACACACACACACAGACACACACACCCACACACACCAAGAGAGAAAGAGCCAGAGAGAGAGAGGTGCATCCACCCAGCGGGGGGTCTCCTCTCGCCCGTGTTTGGCCTCCTGGGGTCTCCTCTCGCCCGTGTTTGGCCCGCTCCGCTCACCGGCAGCCCCCACGTGTATGGCGTCGAAGAGGGGCATCTCCTTGCCCTCCTGCTTGAGCGACCGGCACTCGGCGTCAGGCAGGCCCATCTGCCCGTCGGCCACTACAAACTTCAGGCAGCCTGAAGACAGACAGACAGACAGGTAGGTCAATACACACACATGAGGTGGGTGGGATGGTTGCTTGGTGCTGACATGTGTAAGTCATGTGTCGTTGGTCGGTCGTACCACTAGCCAGCAGTCGTGGGCATGACTTCTCGGCATTGGCCTGCGACATCTCGACCAGCTCGGGGATGTGCTCCACGCCATACGTGCGGCCTGACACACAAGGAAGCATGGGACGGACACGGGCAGCCGGATGCACCACCGTGATCCGCCGCGTTCGTTCGTGTGTGTTTGTGTGTGTACCTACTCTACCTGTAGGCGAGCACAGATCGGCCATGACAGCCGTCAGATACCCAGAACCTGACAAACACCGACACCAAGCAAGAAAGGTCCTCGCACGTCGCGTGTGTCTTGGCTTGACTGAGACAGGCTGACTGACCGCTGCCCACGTCGAGCGCCACTGCTCCGTCTTTCAGGTGGCCCTCCAGCAGCTCAATCATCTCGCAATGCATCTGGCGTAACAAACAAGATGCCGGCACGGCAAACACAACCACTCAGGACTCGGGCGTGACTGGGTGTCTGGGTGGCTTCCCACGTGTGGCGCCGATATGGTGGCGTTGTAGCCGATGGGCTGCGGGGAGTCGCGATAGGACATGGCCGACGTGGGACCCTCTACCGTGAAGTGACCTGTACGTGCACATGACATCCCGGTGAAAGAGAGACGAACGAGAACAAAGGCGGCATTGAGCACCCCGTCCGTTCGGCATACCTCTGTCGATTTTCTTCATGGCTTCGATAACCCGGGGAGTGCGGAGCAGCCTGATCCATCACACACACGCACACACAGAGTCGGCGGCCACCATCCCTCGTCTCTCCCAGATACGCATCTCTGAAGGCGCTCCCTTTGTGTGCCACCTCACCCGGCTCTCTGCAGGTTGTCGATGAGCTCTCGATGTGTATTGCCGTGACACCGCCACGCCATGCTTGCTCACTCACACAAGAGCAAGATGAATCACCTCGACGCTACGTGCTGGCGATGAGCTCGATTTGATGGATAATGCGCAGTCTCTGCAGGTCACTCTGTGTGGTAATGGGGAGGGAAGGTGATCTACGGTCGGAAGACCGCAAAGCTCGCACAAGGAAGGTTCGCAAGCTCGCATGCCATTTGGCCAGGTCCAGCGGCCAGGCCGGTTTTCCACCCCAAGTATGGAAGGCTGTGGCGTTCTATGGATCCTCGTGATCCATCTGGCGTCCAGCGTCGCCTCTTCATCTAGCCAAGGTATTGCACGCCAACGCCACACACGGGACGGCAGCGGCGCGATAAGTCATGCAGACGAGATCTCACTCCATGAAGGCAGCACGGCACTGCGGAGGAGGCTCGTGAGCAGAGATCAGCAGGACCACTGGACCTACCATGCATCACATCAGCTGCAGCATCATACCAGCCGCTCCCACCTCTTGCAGCGCCGCTATGGATCCGTCAGCAGTTGACGGGAAGAGAGCTTCGCCGGCAGCCGTCAGCGGAGGAACCGCGGGGCGACTCGTCGGCTGCTGAGGAAGAAGGCTGGCGGCCACAAGAAAGGCCACGCTCATCAGGTGATGAAGGCACACAGACGGGCAATGCCGGCGCATAGTGTGCTCAAACGGAGGTATCGCCATCGAGGCTCACCCAAAGGGCCTTTGAAGGGAGGGACGGACAGCAGCGGTACAGTAGGGAGGGAGAGCCACAACACACATCCTTCTATATCATATATGTGCTTCCCTGTTTTCTCCTTCGTGCAGTCAATGCGGTCGGGGATAACAGTGGCATTGACGAAGGAGAAGAGCCCTTCCTCGTCTATCGTGTGACCATCGTCGATGACTTTCCGCCAGTCTCCCCCCTGCCACCAAACGACGCCAACGCCACGGCACCCGTGATGCCTCCGGACAATGCCACCCCGCCCTACCAGCCTCTCCCGATAAACGGCAGCGCGGTTGAGCCGGGGGTGCCAATGGTCAGTGGAGAGAGCAATGATGGATAAGACGGATCGATCACATGTTGGATGCATGGTTCAGGCTCCCCCCCCTTACCCTGCCATCAATCAGCCGCCGATCTACAATGGCTCATACGGAGGGCCAATGGTGAGGCGACACAGAGTAATGACGGCGTCGGGCGGGTGGAATCATGGTTGCAACACTGCAGGTGCCATTCAATGCGTCTGGTGGTGGGCCGTCATCCAATGCGAGTGGCCCTCCACCAATGCAGCCGATGGTAAGTGGCCGGAGAGAAAGGCATCCATCCATAAGTGCATTTTCATTTTGGGCCGGTCGGCAGGGTCCCCCCTATTTCCCTCCACCGATGCCGGGGACACCGATGGTACGCAACGACTGCTGCGAAGATGTACCATTGCCCTGTGTATGGTTGCTAGGGGCCCCCTGTCCCGTATGCGGGCGGTCCCCCTTTGTCGCCTAACGGCCCCATGTCTCCCCCGTTCCCCATCCCTGGCACCCCGTGGCAGCCCACACAGCCGGTGGGTCTGTCTCGAGAATGAGTGTTCCATGTGCTCAAGGTGTGACGGTTGTCTTGTCAGGTGGCCAGCGGGGAGCCTGTGCCACCTCCTGCTGCTCACCCCATCCAGGCATACCCCGAGACATCACCCACCACCAGTGAGAACGAGATGGCGCAAAACAAGCAAGCGACGGACTTCCCGCCAGCATCTTATCGGCCCCCCACTGTCATGCCGAGTGACTTCCCCCCGGCATTTGGGCCTTCCGGTCCGCCGCAAGCAGAAGCGCTATCGCCGATCCCGACGGCGCCAACACTGAATTGTGGGGTGGAGCCAGAATTGCTCAACACAACGACATCGACGACTCTTTTGCCGACGGCTGATCTTGTGGTTTCCACCTCTCCCAGCCCACGGCCTCTCATTGGCGAGGCCACGACTTCCACCCCACCCCCTCGGCTCCCCCCTCCCCACGTGACGACTTTCACGCCACCCCCTTATGCAGCAAAGATGCTGGGGTTCAGACCCACCACCACTGGCACTCCCGAGCCACTGCAAGGCGAGCTCACCAGCAGTAGCACTGCCGAGCCGCTCGAGGGCGAGGCGACAACCACACCGACCCCTGTACCAGTGGAGGGGGACGAGACAACGTCATCCACCGCTGCTCCCATGGAAGGCGTCGCAAGCACTTCTAGTACAGGAGAGCCGATTGGGGGCGAGGAAACAGGCGGGCCGATGGGCATGGAGGCGTCATCGACCACACCGCAAGCGCCTCCCTCTTCTGCGTCACCGACGAGCACGGCAGGCCCTCCGGCGACTCCGCCTGCATATTCGGAAGAGAGCATGACACTCATGCCTCCGGTCATGGTGTTCGGAGGGCAAGTGGCCATGCCTACTGGTGGGATTCTGTTTGTGGACCGATAGATTCCATGGTTGGGCGAGGGGTAAATGGGTGGCGGATAGGCACATGGCGCGTAGTGACTTGATTCAAGAGGGAGACGGGCTGTCCATCGGATGCAATCAACCGATCGATCGCATTGCTGTCTGTCGCAACCCAGCCAGCCCTTTCGCAGTCTGCCTGCCATGCACTCACTGACTACACGAAAGGGCAGCCAGCCCTACACACACTCATCTCATCCCGGCTCTCGCCCCGCAATAAAGTGTCCGCTTTTGCCTCCTGTCTTCTCGAGGAGGCGGACATGAGTGATGACGAGGGCCTTGGACGCCGACTTGCACATATCATAGACTGCATGGCATGAACCATTCAGACAGACACAGGGATAGACAGACAGATGCATCGGTTGCCCATGTGGGGAGCTCACCAGTGAGAGCCGCCACCGAGGCAGCAGTCAGTGCTTCCATCTCTGCCAGAAGAGAACACGCAATGCAGTTAATGCCTGGTGTGTCGTCTGTGTGCCTTCCTTCCAGCTCAGCTCACTTACCGACGCCAGTCGTATGCACAGTGGTGGCCTCAGCCCGGATGTCCACTGCATGGTCATTGGCATCGAGTGTGAGGGACACATCGACGTGAGATAGAGAGAGAGGGTGGCACAGGGGGATCTGCACCGCACACACCAACCAAGAGAATTAATGCAGAATTCAGCACAGCACCGCTCATGGTTTGGGAGGCTGGCTGACCAGGTCGGCGGTCCTCTTGCTGCCCATGATGCCGGCCAGTTTGGCAGTGGTCAGCACATCGCCTGCAAGCGACGTAACCAACATACTTACACACACATACGGCACGGCGGCACTCACTGGCTGGAAGGGAGGAGGGAGTGGTCTATCAGCTCAGCTTGCCTTTCTTTATGAGGTTTTCCTGCACAAGCCGGAACACCTCCTGGCCCAGCAGCACACGGGACCCTGCAATGGCGGTGCGCCGTGTCGGCACCTTGCCCTGCAACACACACACACACACACACACATCAGACACACACACACCAGCGAACAGATAGGCCGTGCCATGCTCTGTGTTCCGGCAATTTGTGTGTGAGCATTGGGTACCGACACATCGACCATCTGCGCCTTGCCATCATCCGATGCCACGTGAGTCAGCGACGATGAGCCACTCGGAGTATGGGCATCTGCAGAACAACAGATCCACACCAGAGAGCATGTTCGATGAATGCAGATGCCCAGATCTGGCTGCATCCTGTGTAACTCACCAGCTGCCCTTGATGTGGATGCATTTTGCCACACAGCGAATGTGCCGCACCTCGAGAGGCCTGGCAGCCTGCGAATTGCCGCCTTCACGTTCATTCAGAGCTGCGAGCTTATTTGCGAGCTGCACGACTTTCGAAGAAGAAGCGGCAGTGCAAATCGAGAGCAGCAGACGTTGCATTGTCGTCGTTGTTGAATCCACAACCGAACAGCTTTAATTTCTGTCTTTCCGATTGGTTCTGATACCGGCTGCCGCCGATATGGATTTCGAGCGGTTCTTCAGCAACGCGGGGACGAGGGCAGTGCAAGGGGAGCTTGGCGGGGAAGGGAGAGAGGCAGAGAGGTCCCTCATCAACTCGGAAGGTGAGGAAAGGAAGGCAGCACGACGGGTCATATGCATGCATGCATATGCTGACTAACAAGTCACTGGATCCGTGTGGCTTCGTCTCGTCTGCTTGCAATCCTCAGATTTGGCTCCGCTGCCGCCGCCGGCCCGGCCTCGCGCGCCGACGCCGCCACGGTGGTCGGGATTTGATGAGGAATCGAGTGATGATGAGGAAGAGGAAGACAACCCCTTCGAGCCCCTCGAGTGGCCTTCACCCACACCCGGCTACTCCCCGCCACCCGTCGTGCTGACGGGGTTCGGCCCCAACCCGGACGGCTTCTCCATCCCGCCTCCCGTCGGCTGCTTCCCACGCCCCCAGCGCCAAGCGCCACCAGTTCCCACCCTGACACTTGAAGAGGAGATAGAGTGGCTGATTGAGCGTTGGACCGCCAACCTCTCCCTGCCCTCCATTGAGACGCCCAAGAGAGGCAATGGAGGGCAGGGACAGGGCGGCGATGCTGTGATGGGGGCTTTCCAGCAGCAGCAGGGTCAGGGTCAGGGGCAGCCCAATGGAGGTGGTGCGCCGGCCGCCTTCATGCTGCCACCGCCGCGACGTGAGCCGAGGTACCTGAAGACGACGATGGCCCAGCAGGCCAGGGCGGACGAGACGAAAGAGCAACTGAATCGAATCGCCACCAAGTGGCGACCCAAGGTCCCGTTTCGCGTATGAAGACACGAGTGCTGTCACGTACCTGGCGAGTTCCCTACAGACAAGTGCTGATCGGTCTGGCTTTTCTTCCCTACGAAGTGTAGACGGCTCAGCAAAGGCAGGGAGAGCTGTCCTGTCTTTGCACGGTTGTCGTGTGCGTGCAGTGCGCAGGCACAGCATGCTTCTTCTCTCACTCCGTTTCCACAAAGTCAGGCAGGCACTGAGTGGCCTACACCCTCCCCCCCTCTCACCCCTCCCCCCCTCCCCACACACACACACAATGGCTTTGCAAAGGCAGCTATGCTATCTAGCCTCCGTTCTACCGACCTACCTTCTGACCCCACCTTACCTCCCTCTTCGCCCATGTGTGTGCGGCCTCTCTGACGGACTCTGGGGGCTGTGCCAGCCAACGCGTGTGAATGTGTGAACGTGACTCTGATGGGCGACTGACTCGTGTGATGTGATGCCAACTTACTACTCAAGATGCCATCTCATGCGTGTGCGTGTGCGTATATGCGGATGAGGCTCTCCCAACAGATCGACGTCTCAGACGTTTCGTTCAGTCAAAGGCAGGTCACATACACACACACATACACACACACGCGACAAGCAGTGTCTGCCTGACACACACTTGTCAATGGGGATACATTCATGTCTCATCGAAATGCAGACGACGTCAATGGAGCAAGCCTGCTGGTCTATCAGTACCCCACGCCGTCCATCGAGGAAGCTGTTCACCTGAGCATCCTCTCCCAGCTCGTGCACCAGTCTCTCTACGACACCCTGCGCACACAAATGTGTGTGTGCGTGTGTGTGTTCAGGTGAAGTGTTGGCTGGTGTGGGGAAGCGGATCGCTTCGACGGACGACACAGAGCTGCAGCAGTGGACAGACGCGTTGAAGGGGGCCATCATGCAGGAGCAGACAGACACAAACCTCAACCAAATGACCAACAGGTAGTCAGCACAGACACAAACACACAAGCGGGCGTCATGTCTCCATCCATCTCTCTCTCTCTCTCTCTGCTTTATGTGTCGTGGACGCCAAGGCATTGGTCTGAGATCGCCTCGCACAGCTACTCTTTCCGCCGTCGCGATTTGGCCTTGGCGTACCTGACGAATGGCGTCGAGTTGGCCGACCTGCTCGCGACATACAAAACACTCACGCGGTCGGTGAACGAGTCAGACAGACCGATGCTACAGCCATCAATCCATCTTTCCCCGGTGTGTGTGCACATGTCTTTGACCAGTGACGATGCACTTGTGGTCAAGATGCACCCCAGGCAGACTCCTGCACACGACAGCGACATTGGCAGTACGCACACAGACAAACACAAATAGACGGGGGCATGTCCTGTGCGTCGGTGTCAGGTGGTGGTTGGATTGGTGCGTCTTGGCGCTTCTCCGTCGTCGAAGCTGCGTGGGGCGTCATCAGCGTTGCCAGTGAGGCAGCAAATCGACGCACTCCACAAGTGGGTATTTGACCAGAGGGCTCAGTGGGCAATCCATCTCTTGCACTGTGTGTGTGTGTGTGTGTGCACAGCTTGGTCTCGTTCTATCCGCGACACGCAGTCTGCGCCCCCTGGCCGACACAAGAGGCGTAGACCGATGGACAGACACAGACAGACAGGCATGGATGGTGTGGATGATGCAGCGAGTGGCGGAGGAGACACGCACATGCATCTTTGACAGTGACTCGAGCGGCTGACAACGGCAAGACACAGACGGGAAGGTATTGCATTGATCGCTATCAAACAACCATAGCTAGGTGTGTCTACAATCATGGACACGGAAAAACACGCAGCCAGCGACACGCTACGCTTCCATCGCCCACATGCACACGCCCCTACTACCGGGAAAAGCCATACATAGATGGACAGACAGACAGACAGACAGATCAACAGACAGATCAACATACAGATGGTCCCATTGCAATCAACAAAACTGAACACCCATCGATCCCCCTCACTCACCCACACACATGGACTGTACCGAGTGCACCCATATGATACCCACCCATCAGTCCATCAGAGTTTGGGGGGGAGTGTTGCCATGCGTCTCGTGATTGGTGAGGCCTCGCTGATCGGCGTCTTCTCGGGGCTCGGCTCGTCCATCTTCTTGTCCAGCACCTCGCTATACCTGTGCATAGAAACACACACACACACACACACACACAGTGGGGTGGGTGGCTGATATCCCTCAACTGGACTTACCAGAGTAAAGGTTCGGTGGTGGTGACTTCGACGGGCGTGGTCTGCACTTGGTTGGACGAAGACAGCTGGGAGGTCATGCTGAGGGACGAACCCTGCGTATGATGCATGTGCAGACGTCGTAGCATCACATTGGGTAGGGAGGGAGACGCGTGTGTGTGTGTGTGTGTGTGGATGAGTGCATTCACTTCGTACGCGGATGTTCCACCGAAAGCCCTCTGTGTGGACAGACCGACTCTCGTTGCCTGCGGGAGCAACCACACGCAGACACACACATACGTACACATGGATGGCCACGTCTGAATGTACCGACCTCCCCCCCTCC